GACTCGACCCTGGGTCTCCAGGATCACTCCCCGGGCCGCAGGCGGTGCTAAACCGCTGCGCCACCAGGGCTGCCCGGTGGTCCTGTTTAAAACCGTCTGTGAGCTTTGTTCTTTTTGCCAGAATGAGGGAAAAATTAGAGCATTTCAGAAAGACAATACTGCTCGCCTTTTTGCCTGAATTTTAATTCATACTAACCTGAAATTTTCTACAACTTTAGGTATGTTCTTTGAGAATATAACAAATCTTTTTTGCTGCCATTTTGGGATTACTTTTCTCGTTTTCTGGAGATACTCTGGCTCATAAGAGACATATTTCATAAGAAAGATTTTGCAGAATTAATGGCATGAATCTTGCTTACTACCCTAAACATGTTGAGGGTGGAATAGCAGAAATGGAACAGACATTTCTGGATCACATACTGTGTCCTGGGTGCTCCAGTAGACACCTCTGCTTGGGGTGCCTCATGCTGCTCTTGGGGAAGCCCTGGGCAGGGTAAACCTCTGGCTTGTATGGGGGAATGTGAAAACACCAGTAACTTGTCCAGGACCACATGGCTGCTGTGCAGCAGGGTCAGGTTCAAACCTGGCTCCATCTCTTAACTCCCAGTCTCCACCTGCTGCAGTAACAAAACTTTATTTTGCCCTTCAGATGCCAGACACTCCCCAAGCTCACCACACACGTGATCTCCTTTTTCCCCCCTCAACACACTTTATGAAGGGTGGGAACTTATTATTCCTATTTTACAGATAAGGAAACTGGGGTTGGGTAGATCCAGGTAACTTGCCCAAGATAACCCTGGTGGTATGCTGGAGTCAGTGTTCAAACCCAGCGTAGGACTGTCCTCGGAGCCCTGCTGTGACCCCACGGTGTACTGTTGCCCGCCTCTGCCACATAGACACATGCACACACGCACAGGTGTTTAACAGGGAAAATGTTTTGAAAAGGATGCGCCGATCCTGTTGCTTCATTTTTAGAAGGCGAAGTTAGCATCTTTGGTGTAAGAAAATGTACAGAGAAATGTGAATTGGATAAAGAATTTGGAGGTGGGTGGATGAGGTGGGTCTACATAGTTATTGTTTTCCTAAAGTACTTTAATTTATAGAAATAAAATGATGTTTTGAGGCTCTCTTACTCTACCCCTTCTTCGAGAATATTTCTGTATTATTTCCAGGAGTAGCAAGACTGGTGGGTAAGACCTGCCCTGGGAGGCCCAGCATCTGGCTGTGATCTAGGTTCCCACAGATAGGGCACAAAGGGCTGATGGGGAAGAAACTAATGGCCGGCAGCCAGAGACCAGAAATGCCCCTAGGGCAAGTTAAAATGGTTACAGGCCTGCCTCCAAGTCCTCCCAACATTGCCCAAGGCTGCTCTCACTGAGAACTCACTTCGAATAACCACAACAGAGGTAACTGCAAGGATTCAGTCTCCTGCTTCCATCTGTAGAACATGGATCCAAGCACGGGGCCAAAGACCCATCCTTGCACTGATCCCTTCCTCTGGATTCTGGGAATCGGCCCGCTTCAGAGCTTGTGGCTCGCAGACAGGCTGGTCTCGATCACTGGGACTAGGGCCAGCCTCAGCTGCGAAAAGGAGTCTCCGTGCCAGCCTTCCTCACCAAGCGTCACTGTTTTCCCTATTTCCCAAATACTAGGCAGCGTTCACTTACAAGGAGCTAGAGCTGGCTTTTGTAGGTTATACTTTCCATCTTAGAGGAGATCTAGGTTTCAGAGATAACTTCTAAATGCTTTTTGTTCTCTTCAGCATCCTGCTTTCTAGTAGAGCGTAGGGTCTTGGGGCAGGCAGTGGTCTGGAAGCCGACCACCTCCACAGTGCCAGGGACTGGTGATGGACAGATGGATGGTTGGAAGGTAGGCAGGAGAGAAGAAGAAAATGAATGATAATTTACTTCCAGGATACAGTGCAGAGAACATATGTTTTTTTTTTTTTTGTTAAAGATTTTATTTATTTACTCATGAGACACACACACACACACACACAGAGGCAGAGACACAGGCAGAGGGAGAAGCAGGCTCCATGCTGGGAGACCAACGCGGGACTCGATCCCGGGTCTCCAGGATCACATCCGGGGCCAAAGGCGGCGCTAAACCTCCGAGCCACCTGGGCTGCCCGAGAACATATGTTTAGGACTCAAACTCGCATCCTGCCACCTACAGGTTGAGTGACCTTAGGCCAGTTGTTTATCCCTACACAGCCCCCGCTTTCCTTATTTGTAAACAGGCAGAAATTTTGGGGAGCTGTTGTGATGATGCGACATTGCACACGCAGAGTACGTGTCCCAGTGCCTGGTGCATCAGTGCCCAGCGGACGCTTTTTCTTCCTTCTCCTTCACCAGCTGGCAGACAGGGCCACCTCAAAGTCACGAGGGAAGTCATGAGGCTGAGACCCACCTGGAACCAGGAGGCGTGTACTCTGTAGGGGCCCCCTGGGACCAATCATCCAACAACCTTGTGCCTCAGTGTCCTGTACAGTGCCATGGCCAGACTAGCTCTATCCTGCCGGCGTCCTGCTCTAGCAGTCTGTGCCTCTTCCCTACACACACACACACGTGTGCACGACATGGCGCAACAGGAGAGTTCGCACCCTCAAATAACAGGCTTCTGTCAGTTTGCCCCTAGGCCAGGCAGCAGGACTCAGGCAGTTGGCAGGAGGTGTGTGGTGTGCTGCTCTAAGGCAGTTTTTGCAATTAAAATCTGCCTCTGTTCACCTCTTGCAAAACTCATCTGTGATAATCTCTCCTCACATTTTACGTACTAACTAAAAACAGTTTAAAGCTCTTGTTCCTTACTAGTAACATTTGGGAGGGGGAGGCAGGATCTATAATTCCAGCTCATCTTTCTGGGTTCCTCAGCATTTCTAAACAAGGATATGATGCCATTTGATATACCACGGGGCAGGGGGGTCTTCCCCTGTTGTTCCTTCGGGCCAGCTCTGCTGCCCCCAGACGGGCCTGGACAGCTTTCCTCTCATGTCCACCTCAGCCTCACTAAAGGGCTTGTTTCCTTGGCGCCTCCTGCCCGGGGGACAGCTTGGGGCAGGGGGCTGGGCTGGGCTGCACTCAAGGACGGGGCTGGTGAAGCACTCAGCTTTTTAGTAGTCACTTATGTTTAAGGTTACGGAGAAGGATTCTCCCTCCTGCCTTTCCTCTGCTGCTTTTGGTCAAGGCCTAGACATTCCTAATGCCTCAGAGTTAGTGCTGTTTATCTTCCAGAAATAGACCTGCTCATGAAATCTTCAGCTTCCCCTTTCCTACTTGAGCTCTTCATAGGTGACTCCGCCCATTTGAGTTCCAGGTTCCATTTGGTTGGTGGAATATTTTTGTGAAGATTGGAGTTTGGTCCAAGAGAACTTCATGGGTTTCAGCTAGATGGTAGGGGGGTGGGTGGCAGGGTGGGTGTCTTATACTGCCTCAAACCCACTCTCCAACTGGCCCACGCAGTGACTCCTGGCAGAGGGAGCCCAAGCCTTAACATCTGTAAGATGGGCCTCGCCGAGCTGCCTTTGAAGCGGGAGCAGTAATTGCCAGCTTTGATTGCACCGACTTCACTGGTGGGTTGGGCTGCGCTGGGGCTCGCCTGGCCTGGCCCAGCCACAGGCCCCCAGTGAAGTCTTAGATGTGGGAAGTCTCCAGTCTCCAGAGCCTCATGCCTGTGGTTTCTTGAAAAGGATCTTGATTTGACCTGTTTTATATCTATAAAGCAATTCTCTAAGGCCCCCATTTCTCCCATTTGGAGGTAAGACTTGGGTCTGCCCTGATGGTTCTGTAGTTTAAAGAAGCAACCACATTCAGTCTGTCTTGTTTGATAGCAGGACAAATTCTTTACCAATTTATTTCAATACTAGTTATGCTATTAGGATTTATAAGAGGACACTGAAATAATGAAATAACAGTGGGAAGATGTGAGGCTGTAGAAAGAAATGGTTTTATTAGAAGACGTTGAGATTCTTTCGCGCATAGTATCCGTGTAGTAAATGGCCACTCTGGACAGCCTGGTTCGCTTTAGTAATTGTGTGACTGTGCTCACTCCAGAAAGGAAGAGGGGAAGGCCCTCTGGGTGGGGCAGGGAGGGGAAGGACAGGACGGCTTGGTGAACCAGACGTGCTGGGTGCTGCCTCAGGAGGCATTGGCCTACTGGAGAGTGGGGGCCCGTGGTCCTCAGCTCCTTTGGAGTCAGCCTGCAGCTGGGGCAAGCAGTCCATTCTGATCACAGCACTTGTCTCCAGCTGTTGGGAGCTCCTAGCCCAGGGCTGCAAGGCCATTCCTCATCCGGAAGAGCAGTTTGGACCAAACTTTTGAAAATCTGTGCTGCAAGAGTACATGTAAATAGGGATCTGTGAGGTGCCTTCCACTCTGGGCCAGACTTTGCTCCTTCTTAGCTCTTTGATTTTCCTGTGTGAAGGCTCTGTACCCTGCTGAAATTTCAACCACCAAAGTGCTGTAGCATGTGTTCCCCTGCTAAATAGGGAAAGGTTAGCTTTACCAAAGAATAGGAATCGAAATGGGCATTACAGACCTCCTCAGTTGACAGCATTCTGTGGCTGATTTGCTCCCATTTGTTTTTTTCAGTAGCTACCTGTATACATAGATTCTTCACAGTTTCCATCAGTCCTCTTGAGGGACAGTGTTTATAGTAGTTGCATTAATGGTAAGAAGAGCTACCAGGTCGCTAGAGTGCTAACGGGCCTAATACTGCTCTGCACCCACCATGCGCTTTGTCAGCACCCAAAGGTTAATGCACTCCGCCTCCCTGTGCGCACATATACGCATCCATGGAACCAAAGCAAAATTTCAGTAAACTAGACTTACTCTCTAATGTGGTCCGAAGATGTGGGGCTACCACAAGGCTATCATTTTAGCCATCACCAAATCAAAAAAGTGGACTATTAAGTGCAGAGATCTTAAGACACGTGCGGTATGCCACAGAGGCTAAAGGCCTATGACAAATGCACATTAACAACATTTCATTTGTTCCTTCTTGAGGTGGAAAACGAAACTCATTCCCAACGTGCAAAGCCAAGGCAGCGACCCCGGGACCTCTTCTGGAGATGGAAGCTTGTTGAAAACCCAGACTGTCTCCAGGGCTTGCCCAGTCGACCCCAATGGAGAATTGACACCACCTTCACCCTGAGGTCACCGCTAGAGACGCTGATCCATAAAGACAATCACTGCCAAACCCCCTTTCATCTACTGCAAGAGCCAAGTTCCAAAATAAAGCATAAAAGGTTTCCTAAATGAGAAGTACAAAGCACCTGAGAATGCTAGCAGGCCGAGCAGCTGTCCCCCCTCCTCTGTGCGCGCACTTCCCAGAGCATCTTGCGTCCATACCTGTAACCTTTTGGCAAGGACAGTAACTTGGCTACTTTGCCTGCCAGGAGCAACTGGGCAGCCAGCACATCCATCAGCATCCCAGTGGGGGACTTTGTGGAAGAGTTCCCGCTTTGTTTCTTCTTTTTTTTTTCCTCTTCCTTTCTCCTAAGGCTTTTATTTAACAGTGCAAAAGAATCAATCTTATTTGCTTTTTTTTTAAACTTGAATTTTTTTAAATTTTCACTTTTTAGTTTAAACTCTCTTGTTGTATATTTTGCTAGCTATGAGCTTTTGAGTAAAATTCAAAGATCTGGAAAAGTTGAAATAAAAATGAAAAGAAGCCGCCCTTTTTTGAGCGGTATCTTGTCGGACAAGTGGCTTCTCTGTGAATTACTTGTAACAAATAGTGGCCTCTCTGTCTTTGTAAGGTGTTTGATAGAGCTAAATAAATGGAACAGCCAAACCCATCCTGTTGGTAGCAGTGGGCAGTCCTATTTCATTTTATTTTATTTTTTCTGATCTCCTTTGTTTAAATGGTAAACCTTAACCCATACTTTCAGCAGGCCGGTTTGCAGTGAATTTTCATTTCTTTCCTTTTTCACCCCCTTGTTGTAAAAAGCCCAGCACTTGAATTGTTATTACTTTAAATGTTCTGTATTTGTATCTGTTTTTATTAGCCGATTAGTGGGATTTTATGCCAGTTGTTAAAATGAGCATTGATGTACCCATTTTTTTTTTTAAATAACAAGGCACAGCCTTTGCCCCAAACTGCCATCTAACGTTTGTCATTCCAGTTTGAGTTAACGTGCTGAGCATTTTTTAAAAGAAGCTTTGTAATAAAACATTTAAAAACAATGTGTCCTTTCTTTAAAGAGTGAAGCTCTTGATAATCTGGAGCTAGTAGTGGTGAACTAAAATCCATGGGCCAGGCCCGGACTGGCTTGTCCACATCAGAGGGGGGTGCCTTCCCCTGTCTCCAAGGCACAGTCCTCAAAGGGACTTGCACGACTTGGACACCACCTCCTCCTCTCCAGGTGTAGACATAAAAGGGGGCCAATGGGAAGAAGACTGTCACCAGGATTCAGATGGGAGTGATTCTCTTCTTCCCTCAGCACCTCAGACAGCCCTCATGGACTCCAGCCACCAGTAAGTGTACAGGTCATTTTTCATCATCAGAGCTCATCTGTTCTCACTCTTTGGGGTGCTTTGGGACCCCCCAAAGCAAGGTGTCCCTATGTTAAAAAAAGGTCTTAACTCCCACTTACCTCCCAAAAGTCAACATTTTCCCAATTTTCAGTTGTATTCCATAATTTTCTCTTAGGCTTTTATTAGGCTAGTATAGAAGTCAGTATCTGATTTAGCAAAAACTGTATATTAAGGTTGTGGGTTTTTTTTTAAGATTTTATTCACTTGAGCGAGAGCGAGAGTGATCACAGAAGGAGGAGAACCAAACTCACTGCTGAGCAGGGAGCCCGATGTGGAGCTCGATCCCAGGACCCTGGGATCATGACCTGAGCTAAAGGAAGATGTTTAACTGACTGAGCCATCCAAGTGTCCCAAAAACTATACTTTAAGTTTAAAAAAATTAATATTGAATTTGAACTAGTTTGAGAACTACTGATAGCACCGATCTAACTTCAATCTCTTGCTGAAATTGTAGTCGGTTTCCCTTTCCCAATCTCCAGTACAGCTGGGGAACAGCTGGATGCCATACTTGTAATAACCCTCCACCGACTGTACTTGAAGATTGCCATTAAATCACCCCTCCAATTTCTCTTCTCCAGGCTAAGCGATCCCCACTCCTTGAACCTTTCATCATCAGCCCTTTAATCATTTTCATTACTATCCTCTGGAACCTCTCCAATTCCTCATCATTTAGTCCTAAACTTGAACCAGGGAAAACTATTATGTTGAGGAGACCTACTTGTTAGGTTTCATATTCATTTGAAAATCATCTGACTTTTCTTAATGTACATGAACCAAATGGTCTAATGCTGCCATTCAAGCTTTTGCTGGGAATTAACTAGAAAGTCCAAACAAAATGGTGTAGGAGGTAATAGTTAAGGGTTACTTTTAGGGGGGTGGGGAGGACTTATGCCAACAGTGATTGGCTCCCCTGGATCTTAGAAGGAAACTGAGTAATGATAGTCTCTTCAAAACAAAACAAAGTAATAGTCTGTTCTCCAAGTATGAGCAAGGATACGAAGCTGAGAATGGAAAGCTGCCAAAGCCCACTCAAGTCCTCTCTACTTCAGTAGTTCCTCCACATTTTTATGACATAAAACATGAGTAAACATCAGACAAGGGGTTGAACAATGTTGAAGACGGACTGTTTGGGACCTTTGAGCCAGTTACTCCTTCCACCAACTTGGTACCCCTCTAGTTTTAGAGAAAACTAAAGAGTTCCCTCTAGAATAATGTGTTTCTCCCAGATCCTTGGATGGCACAGCTCAGTGCTCACTCCTGGCTGGCCCACCCTACCAAAACGCTGCTTGCTGCAGGCAGCAGTGTGGGCAGGGAGAGTCGCGAGTCCCTGAGCAGTATGGCCCAAGGAAAGTCATCCTGGGGCATCTGCGGGCAGAGGAACGCGCCTCTGCTTCTGCCTCTGTTTGATCTGGAAGTGATTTGGCTCCGTTTGCTGCAAGCTCAGAGCTGAACTGTGTGCCAAGAGGAGGAGGATGGGTCAGCCTCTCTTGGAGCCCAGCCTTCCTCTGAGGCCACAGCTGGCATGCTGGTTCCTATGAAGGGGTGTTTTCCTCCTGGTTTTAGTTTGTGTGGTTGCTAAGGTTGCTGGCAACTACCTGTTGAGCTGTTCGAAGGGGCCTTTGAACTATTTCGTGACTACAGCTGTCCTAAATACAATAATTTTTTCCTCCGGAGTTTGGTCTAAGGCTGAGACAACATGGAAACCTCTAATCAAGGGCCTGCGAGCAATAACAAGATGTCTGTGTGGCTTTCCTTTTAAAGAAGAAAAATCCTGAGGAGTAATGCATGGTTCTGACAGAAAAGAGAAACTTAAATGCTCCACATGACATAGTAGTTGTTCTACAAATTACATTTACTACTTCTGCCACAGGATATTATCTTTCATACATAAAAACCTGGGGAATGTCAAGAGCTGCCCTGTAAAACCTAATTTCTAAGTTTCTATAAAGAGTTAATATCCAAACTATATAAAGAACTCCAACAACCCATAGAAAAAAGCCCCAAACACTGATTACAAAATAGGCAGAGGATCTGAATAGGCATTTTCTTTTTTTTTTTTTTAAGATTTTATTTATTCATGAGAGACACAGAGAGAGGCAGAGACACAGGCAGAGGGAGAGACAGGCTCCATGCAGGAAGCCGGATGTGGGACTCGATCCCGGGTCTCCAGGATCACGCCCTGGGCCGAAGACAGGCACTTAACTGCTGAGCCACCCAGGGATCCCTGAATAGGCATTTTCCAAAGGAGACTTAACAGATGGCCGACAGACTCATGAAAAGATGCGTTATATCATAATCAGCAGGGAAATGCAAATCAAACCACAAGGAGATACCACCTCACACCTGTTAGAATGGTTAGTATCAAAAAGACAAATAACATGTTGGTAAGGATATGGAGCCCTTGTGCACTGTTCATGGGAATGTAAATTGGTGCAGCCACTGTGCAAAACAGTGTGAAGTTCCTCAAAAAAATTAAAAGAACCACTATACTGGATGCAACAATTCCATTTCTGAAGACAACACCAATTCAAAAAACTACATGCACCCCCGTATTCATTGCAGCACTATTTACAATAACCAAGATATGAAAGCAACCAAAGTGTCCATCGATGGAAAAGTACATAAAGAAAATATGGTACAACAGACACAATGGAATGCTACCATTCAACCATAAGAAAAAATGAAGTCCTGACATTTGCAACAACTTGGGATAGAACCTGTGAGGGCATTATACTAACTGAAATAAACCACACAGAGCCAAACACTGCATGATCTCACTTCTAGGTGGCTCAGTGGTTGAGCATCTGCCTTCGGCTCAGGGCGTGATCCCGGGGTCCTGAGCTCACAGATAACAGAGAACAGACTGGTCGTGGCCTGAGGATGGGGAAGAGGGTGGGATGGGATGGTGGCAAGAATGGGTGAGGAGGGTCAAAAGGTACAAACCTCCAGGTATACGGCCTGGAGAGGGGTGGCGCCTGGGTGGCTCAGTGGGTTAAGCATCTTGACTTCGGCTTAGGTCATGATCTCAAGGGTCCTGGGATGGAGCCCGCATCGGGCTCCTAGCTCAGCGGGGACTCCGCCTCTCCCTCTGCCTCTCCCCCTGCTTGTGCTCTAATAAATAAATCTTTCAAAAAATAAGTCCTGGGGATGCAACGTACAGCATGGTGACTACAGTTAATAAATACTACAATGCGTATTTGAAAGCTCAGAGAATCTTAAAAATTCTCACAAGAAAAAACTTCTGTAACTATGGCGATGGTGATGGGAACCAGGCTCATGGTGATCATTTCACAATCTATACAAATACCAAATCATTATATCGTACACACGCATCATCTGTTATATGTTAATGACACATACTGCCAAAAAATCCACCTAACTTCTAGGGATACCCACACATACAAAAATCTGAACTGCTTTTCAGTAGAAACTAAATAGTTGGCTGCAGCTGAGCATCTTAATACTACTAGAAAGATGCGACTGTAAATGTACTATGGGACAAAATAAGATGGTAGGCCGGGCTGGCCATCACTCAGCGGGAACCGCTCCGGAAGGCGCTAAACTCGCGCAGCCCTTGGTGGGAAAACCCGCATGATCTCGCTGTGCAACGAGGAGCCGTTCACACGAAGAACGAGGAAGGGCACGCCAAGATTGGCCATCTGAGATACACATTGCTAGCATGAAGCCACCCAAGTTAAAACTCTTTGTGTTAGGCAATATAGAAGTAATAATTTTTAGTGAAACTTGAAGAACTCCAGTGAAAGCTGCTTGCTGGCTTGCTCCTGTTGAAGAAACAATGCTAATGTGTCCATCAGCGGGCCTGTGGGGGGCAGGATGCTGGTAACAAAGAAATGATCCTTGTGCCCACTGACCTAACGTTGCTTCCGAGCACCTGGCAACGGGCTAGACCCGAGGAAAGGGGCTTTATGCTTTGTAGGGCTGTTGACCATCTGCACGTGTTCTCACATACGAGCATCCTCTCCCCGAGTGGACTGTCAAACACAAGGGGCTTGGGGGCCCCTGGGTGGCCCAGTGGTTGAGCATCTGCCTTTGACTCGGGGCCTAGATCCCGGGGTCCTGGGGCCGAGCCCCACCTCAAGTTCCCCGCAGGGAGCCCGCTTCTCCCTCTGCCTGGGTCTCTGCCCCTCTCTGCCT